TTTATATAAAGTAAGTATGTATTTTGAAAGGGGTAATCTGGGATTACGGCCTATACTATATTATCACCCTATTTGAGGGTCTTGTGTGTGAAATACTTGTTGTATATCTATTAGATGCCTGCCACACCAGCACTTTATAGCCCTATAGAGTGCTGACCCCTTCGGGGGCGTCCCACCACCATTTTTCAGGTTGAGGCTAGAGCTTGCTTCCTGTGCTCGTTGCTCGAGAGATCATATAGGAGGGAAGACTTGGTTCGTGCTTCCTCCATTCTGTTTTTAAACCTTTCTAAACATGCTCATGGATATTTTACTATGGAGCCTGCGTGCTCATGAAATGCCTTGTGTGGCCCTTTTGTTTTAAACAATGTTTCCGCTGCGTTATGAATTACTTATTATGTTTGTTTATGGATGTATATGTGTGAATGATATTCAAGACGCCTTGTATAATATGAATGTGTTGGACTGCGGTTGACTATTCGTATTGTACGGCGGGTTGTTGACGTGTCCGGATAGGTCCGGGGCGTGACACAATTAACACTAAATAATGAGTTTATCTAAAAACTTATAAACACCAATGAAGGTAAGGATGTTTTAGGTATAAAAAATGTGTTGGTGTAAAAGTTTAGCATTATGTAATTGTACATTATGTTTTAAATATTATACTCGTTATTAATAACCTTGATTTTCTCCTTGACCTTCCGTTAAACTAATTCACTTAGCCGTTCACTCCCATAACCCTTTGCTGCACTCAGTGGCGTATCCACTATGGGGGCAGCGGGGGCAGCTACCCCCACTCAATCCCAACCCAACCCCTATATTTATATCTAAATTTTTATAAGAAATTGCACAAAATAAGAGTGTTAAGAGTGTTTTCTTTTAGATTAAAAGAATGAAAGGCTAAAAAATTCACTAAATTTTGTTATGTTTAACTTATATTTAGGTAATTTTTTCAAATTCTATCCGCAATTGCATCTTTACACACCTGTAATATAAATTAATCGTCTTTTTATTCATATTTGTACATATATATCTTAAACTAAAATCAATTAAACAATATCAATAGTGTGATTTGCTATTTGTGAAATATGATGCTAAATGTAGTGCAAGTTTGCCCCCACTCGTCAAATTTTCTAGATACGCCACTGGCTGCACTACATCCGAAAGCTGAAAGGACGAAGCTCTCCAACACACTTTGGAGTTTGGACCCTCGATTTCAAAATACTCCATATTTATTTTAGATGAGTTGACTTTTTGTTGTGGACATTATCAGGCCTAATTCTGAAAAAGATATAGAATATTTGAAGGTAAGTCTGTTTGATTTGTTTGAGAATATATTAAAACTTTTTAGAAAAATTAATTGTCCAAAACTTTAATTATTCAATATAGTTATTAATAAGTCCCACGTTTCATTTAAAGGGAAAATGTTTTTGAATAGAATCTCTTTGAATATTGCATGCGGAGTATATGTAATAGATATTTATTGAACCACATATTTTTGTGTTTGCGAAGTCACTCAATTTTATCACACTCCCTTATTAAGTATATTGTTTGAAAAAAGCTGCAGGTCGATTGGATAATGTTGCTTTTAATTGATTTTGTTTTTGGCTGGTTATAATTAATTCTATTGAAACACAGTTTCTATATCGTGGGAGCAGCCCACTGATGGACAGTCTACCCGGGGGGTATCTTATCCGAGGGGTTATTGCGGGAATAACTTAGAGAGAAGTCAGAGTAAATAGGAGGAGAGAGAGTCGATTTTATTAAATGAACACATCGTGTGAGAGTTGGGATGTGGATGGTTTACAAGGAGAAATGGGCTGCTATTTATAGCAGCAATAAATGCGATGAGAGTACACGTGTCAGTAATCCAACGGCCGAGGGGTCATATCAATCGGGTGGCACCGGCAGTGGTACGTTCACCGCATTGAATGCGGTTGGCGGATGTGATGTGGCATTAAATGCGGTGGTTGGCTGTCTCCAAAAGGAATCTTCGACGATTGAGCATGTTTGGCCGAAGGCTCCTTGTGTAGCCGAGGGATCCGTGTGTAGTCGAGGGCTCCATGTAATAGAGGACCCCTGCGTGGGCGAAGGCTCTGTGAGACCGGAGGCCTGGTTCAGCCGAAGGCTCCTGTTTTCCGCCGTTTTCTCCCAGTAGCTTCGTATGCCCGAAAAAGCTATCCTGTGAGTTTTGGAGCCTTCGGCCAAGGAGGCCGAAGGCACCCCAGGGTGTATTCTGGGCTTCTTTGAGGTTTGGGCCGTTGCATTTGGGCCTGAGTTGTTTTCTGGGCTCAATGGACTTGTGCAGGAGAAGTAGGAGTCTATGGGCCGGGGGTTCCTGGTCCATATACTCCATCAGGAGTCCCTCACTCCTTTTGCCGAAAGGTACTTGAGGGAAAAGGAGTAGATGTGTTGATTCTCCTGGAGGCTTTATCATTTAGTTTAGTGCCTTTGCTTGAGAACTTGCCTTCTGCTGATTGCCGAAGGCTTCCCTCAGTCCCTCACATGTCGAGGGTTTTCTGAGGGAAGTATAACACCTGTATGACTGCCGAAGGCTTTCCTCAGTCCCTCACATGTCGAGGGTTTGCTGAGGAAAGTATAGATGTATTGCCCGCATGTGTTACGATGGGGGCTGCTTCATTTCCGCAAGTGACTTGGGAAAATTTTTTATACTCTGCCTCTGCCGAAGGGTATATTGAAGTATATACCCGAGGGTTTCTACTTTGATGTTTGCCCGGAGGCTATATGCGTCAATTGTAGATTTTCGCTTGAGGAAATTTTGTTCTGTGTGATGCCCGAGGGGTGTATCCTGGAGTCCCTCACTCCTTTTGCCGAAAGGTACTTGAGGGAAAAGGAGTAGATGTGTTGGTGAGTTCCCCGAGGGGTTCCATTGACTGGGTGTTAGCCGAAGGCTTATACTGCTATCTGCTCGAAGCCTTTCGCAGGTGATAGCCGGAGGCCACCATTTGAGGGCACTCTAGTGTTTGGGGAATATAGCCGTTGTAATAGAGCCGTTGGAAGCGGGTTCCACGTGGCGCATTGTCGTTGGCAGATGGGGGGCGGGTGCCATCCATTGGTTGAACCGGCGGCCCGTAATGATGGCCTTTTCAAATCGAGGCCCAGTCCTCGAGGCCGAAAACCTATATATACCCCAAGGCGGAGCTCAGTTCACTTGTGCGATTTTATGTGATAGCGAAGCTCTGCCAAAATTTCTAGAGAGAGAAAGTTTTTGCTTCGATCAAACCCTGTTTCTAAGGTCAGTTCTTCTCCAGTTCTTCGTTTCTTTAGCATACTTTGCCACTTCCGCTTTGATCTAGTGTTAGCGATTTTAGGAGCCTCCGGCTTAAATACTTAGGTAACCTTCTTCCAATCTTCGCCTTTAGTGTCTAAGAATGTCATCGCAAAGCGATTCCCAGAACGCATCGGAGGGCCCGTCGGTTCAGCAAGAGAGCTACTCAGATGTGGAGTCTTCGAGTGAGCAGTCCTTGGTGAACAATGACTCAGCTGTCGCCGAAGAGGTCCAAAATGACCTTTGCACTGAGATGGAGGCGGAGGAGTTCGAGCAGGTAGTTGAGGATGAAGAAATGGCCCTCGTGCTCCAGGTGGCCGAAGAAGAGGAAGAGAAGGAGAGACAAGAAGTTATAATTGCTGTCCTCCCACTTCGCGGTGCCGGCGAAGCGAGCACCTCCCGGCCATTAGATCCGGAACCCCTCAGTGTTGCTGTGTGGAAGAAAAGGAAGAAGACGAAGGCTCCCCAGAAGAGCAAGCAAACCGCCGTGGATTGCGAGAAGCCCGTGGGAATACCCGAGGGGCATTCATGGCTGAATACTGCCGCCCTCGCGCTGAAGTCGAGGGCTGACCGGGCCGAATGTTACGTCACCCAGCTGCATGTGGGCCCTTCGGCCACCGTGATTGAACCGGGGCCCAACGATCTCTTGTCCCAAGCTCCCGAAGGGTGTTTCGCGGTTCATGTGTTGTCAGTCGCCATGGGCCTCCGGTTTCCGCTGCATCCCTTCCTCCTCAAGTATCTGAGGTATGTGGGTTTAGCCCCCTGCCAGCTCACCCCAAACAGCCACTCCTATATCACTGGCTTCCTGCAGCTTTGTCGATCCCGGGGGGTAACCGCGACCCTTGATTTATTCTTCCAAAGTTTCAACTTGTGCCGGGGGGCCACACCAATTCCGAGGGGTTTGCAAACCTGCAACAGCTCGCCCCCTGGAGGCTTTTTGACGATGTTCCTTCGTCCCACAAAGGATGGAAGGACCGCTTCTGCTATATCAAGATGGCAGAAAATCCATTTCCGAGGGAGCTGCGCAACCACTTCAGGCGGCACCCGAAGGTGGGAAGTGCCGCACTCCAGAGAGAGGGGAAGAAGATAGCTGCTCTGCCAGAGGGGGCGACAAAGCACGTGACCGTCAAGGACTCGACTCTCCCAGAGGACTTGCTGGCCCTTAGCTTCTGGCGATACCGTTTCTTGGAGGAAAGGGACGAACAGTACCCTGTCCTCGAAAGAGCCTTCGGTAGTATAGGAGGTAGTCTCCGAAGGGTCCTCATTGTTGTACTTAGGGTTTTTGTATTGCTTTTCTGTTTCGTAGTTGTACCCTCGGGCTAACCATTGTTGTCACTTTGCAGGTGTTAGCATGGACATCTCCAACTTCGCTGCCCTCAAGAAAAAGTTGGCAAAAGAGCCCAAGAAGAAGAAGGAGACGGGAAGCCAGAAACTCGTCGATGAGTTCTTCCGGAAGGATGGGGCTGTTCAGGTCCCGGAGGATGAGGGACCCTCCAAAGCTGTTGATGCCGGTGCTGGTGCCGGGGGCTCCAAGGGGGAGGAGCTCAAGAGAAAGGGCTCCGGGAAGGGCGTCGCTCCCCCGGAGAACAAGAAGCAGAGAAAGGGGGCCTTCGGGAGGAAGGATGCCCCCATTGTGATAGTCGAGGAGCAGCCATCCTCGAATCCCTCGGCGACCACTCCACCTTGTTCCCCTCCATCCCCTATAGACGAGGAAGTCCGCCCGGCGGAGATCATCCAATTCCCCGTCAAGTCGGGGACTTCAGTCATGCACGGCACCCTTCACCCCGTTGGGTTCATGAGGGGGGTGATGGCGCCGAAGGACAGGTCCGTTCTGGCCCGCCTCGGGGATGACATCCTCGATTACAAAGTCGCAAGCTACAGCACTATGGTGAGCCTTCCCCTTGCCTACCCTTTGGCTTGGGTTTATAATTTGATTCTAACGTTTCCTTGCCCTTTGTCGTGTTTGTAGGCTGCGCTGGCCGCCTCGGAGCAGGCCCGGAGGGTGGAACAGCTGAGGATAGCGAAGGTTCAGGCGGACGAGGCCTTGAAGAAGTCTGATGAGGAGATCTCTATCCTCCGGAAAAGGCTCGCCGATGCCGAGGAAGCCCTTCGACTGGAGAAGGATAGCAATGAGCAAAGGCTGAAAGATGCCGAAGCTAAGGCGAAGGCCGCCGCCGAGGAAGCCGCCGCTGCCATTGCCAGGACCGTTGCCGAGGCCGCCGAAAATGAAAAGGCCGAAGCGGTGGCTGATGCCAGAAAGAAAGCGGTTGAGGCTTTTCTTGCCGAGGGCTGGACGGCATTGGACCACGAGGGGTGGGTGGCCTCCGTGGTGGAGCAGAAGGTTGACTCCTGGGTGAAAGGCCCTGGTGCTGAATGGCTTGCCCGAAAGGGTAAAGATTATTATGACGGTGGTGAATTCTTCACTCAGAAGCTGGTCTACCGTCGGCTGGCTAGGCATCTGAAGATTGATCCGAAAGATTTCGATCCGGCGACCTATGGCCTTCCCCCTCTTCAGCCAGATGTCAGAGTACCCCTCCCCCCGGGTGAAGAGAGGCCAGATTTGGAGGACTCCGAGCTCATGCAAGAGGGCGAGGATGATGAAGAGGAAGTCAGAGAGGATGCCACTTCGAGGCCGAAGGATGATGGAGCTGAAAATGCCCAATCTTGAAATTCCTCTAAGTACAATTTTTGTAATAGATTGTAGGTTTCGGTTTCGGCCGAACATGTAATGAAACATGTTTTTGTACTTTAACAATTTTTTGCTGATGGATGAATGCCTTCGGATTTTATGCTAATGCTTCGGCTCCTCATTTATGCTTTCGTCCTTTTGCCTTTGAATGTATGCTTTTCTTCCACGTTTATCAAAGGGCCACGAGTCTGTGGACTTAGAAATTTTTTTTAAGCAGAACCTGGCGGCAAGCCCTCGGTTATGGTGTGGAGCCACCGGGGGCTCGTAGTTGTGGACTTAGAGAGTTTTCTAAGTAAAACCTTGATCAGAAACCTTCGGCGGAAGTGGGGGCCATGATTTGTGGACTTAGGAATTTTCCTAAGTAATTCCACCGCATGCCTTCGGCAATGATGTCTGGTGCTCGCCTTCGTCTTTTCTTACGAGATCGTCGAGGGTTAGAATGATAGTTGACTTAGGAAATTTCCCTAGCTTGCTTCATGAGAAAACAATCGACCTGTAGAGCAGCCTTCGGCTAGAAGTGTGTTGGTAGTATTGAAGTCCATGGTTGTCCACGAAGGGTACCAAATTGTGGACTTAGCCGAATTTTACACAAGGTTTCAATAGACCTTGTAGTGGGCCTTCGAATGTGAGAAGTTCTTGAGCCTTCGGCCTATAGAATTTCCGAGGGGATTCAAGTTCATGGACTTGTGTTATTTTGAGATTTGTCACCAATAGATCTTGCGAGTAGCCTCCGGTCCGGTGAGTGTTTTCCGAAAGATGCCAATACGTGGACTTAGAATTTTTTTCATTGTCGAATGAGCCTGGTGACATTCCGCCTTCGGCATGAAGCCCCCGGTTTGTGTAGATATGGATTTAGCTTGCCTTAGAACTTCGTGTAGCCCTCGGCATGGAACATAGTTGACTTTGATTCAGCCAAATTTCGGACTTAGCCAAGTTTAGGTGAAGTTTTGCTAGCGAGCCCTCTTCTTGGGCCTCCGGGGGAATTCTTGTACTCCAAGGCTTTATGTAGTGAAGCCTTCGGCTATGTAGCCGGATGACTTGTTGTTGTAGAGATTTTCTTGTGCCTTTGTAGGATCCTTCGGGAATATATTTCTGAAGCGTTGAGCCTCCGGGGAGAATAGTATCCGGGGAATTCCTTCCCCCCTATACATCTTTTTTTTTTTTAAAGATGGTGTAGGAGAGGCATCTAGAAACTTGGTTTGTAGGAAATGCTTGGCCTATATGGGAGGCAACGGAACAAACCGTTGGCTCCCCCTTCGGGAATGACCTTCCGATATCCCGAAGGGTTTGAGGGTCGTTTCCTCGGCCCGAGACATCGTCTGTTGCCTGCTTCCCCTTGGGAGATAGCGCGGAAAGCGCCTCGGTTTTGAAAGTCGTCCCCTCAGCCCGAGACGTGGTCTGTTGCCTGCTTCCCCTTGGGGGATAGCGCGGGGAGCGTTTCGTTTGTGGAAGTCGAATCCTGGGCCCGGGACATGGTCCGTTGCCTGCCTCCCCTTGGGGGATGGCGCGGAAAGCGTTCCTGGGAAGGGTTTTATTTGTGCGTGGCGCACAAATAGCCGGGGGCACTTGGTACTAGCCGGAGTCGAGGGGTGTTGAACCCCCCAGTTTTTTTTTAGGAGGAAAGGGTGTAGAGATATGCATAATGTATGCATGAGGGCGTCCTCGTGGGGTACGGCTTAGTTAAAAACACTTGGTGTTTTTAAATAGTGGTGGGGGTAACCCGCACACTTGGTACTTGGTACCTTGATTGGCGAAGTCGTATTTTGTCCTTCCCTGTGAAGAGAGGGGGCCTTGGGCCTATTTTGGTGAGGAGATGAGGGCTTGGCCACTCATTTTAAGGGAGAAGGGGGGCCTTGGGCCGCTTGTACAACGTGTAGGTGATGAAGGCTTGGCCTTATGGTTATTCTTTCAAAATGAATGGGGCCTTGGGTCATAGATCATTTACATTTGTTGAGGGTGAGGGCTTGGCCACTCATGTTTCACTGATAGAACTTGACAAGGTGATGCACATTCCAATGCCTAGGAACCTCTGTCCCATTAGGACGCTTTAACTTGTATGTTCCCGGTTTGATGATGGCTGAGACAATGTAGGGGCCTTCAAACTTAGGCGCCATCTTGCCGCCTTCAATTCGGTGGGTAGGCTGGCCTCCCTTCGTCGGAGGACGTAGTCTCCCACCTGGAATTCCCGGGAGCGGACCTTCGCGTCGATGTAGCCTTTGACTTGTCTTCTATAGTTTTCAGCCCTGATGAAGGCTTGCTCCCGTCGTTTCTGAGATGAGGTGAAGGTCGAGGGCCATATTGGCGTCGTTGACCTCAGGCTCATATTGTTCCACCCTTCGGGTGGGAAGGGTCACTTCTGTTGGAGCTTTAGCCTCGAAGCCATAGCATAGGGAGAAGGGTGTTTCACCTGTTGCACGCCGAGGGGTGGTACGGTAGGCCCATAGAATGTTGTGGAGTTCTTCTACCCAGCCTCCCCCTTCGGCTTCCAGCTTCTTCTTCAGCCCTTCAAGTAGGGTTCGGTTGGCGTTCTCTACTTGTCTGTTGCCTTGAGGGTAGGCAACAGAAGAGAATGTGTGCTTGATGCCCCAAGCCTCAAGGAGGGCACAGAAGGGGGCTGCCTCGAACTGAGTTCCGTTGTCGGAGATGATTTGTTGGGGGACGCCAAACATTGTGAGAATATTTTTGAGAACAAAGTGGCGGCACCGGGCTTCAGTGATGCTGGCGAGGGGCTCGGCCTCTACCAATTTGGTGAAGTAGTCAATGGCCACAATGATGTACCTGATGTACCTGTAGTCAATGGCCACAATGATGAGGGCGCCGAGGGGTTGATGTGTGAGCACTTGGACCGGATGAGCTTCGAAGTAATGCCCAAGTTTCTTGACGGTCCAAACGATGGCTAGCACCGTCTTCTCGACGGGAGAATACCTGAGTTCGGCTTCCCGGAGGGTTTTGCTGACGTAGAAGATAACGTGTTGGATGCCATCTTCCTCCCGGATTAGTACTGAGCTGATGGCAGCAGGGCTAACACCAAGGTACAAGTATAAAGTCTCCCCCACCTTTGGTTTGGAGAGCACCGGGGGGGAAGAGAGGTACCTTTTAAGTTCGTTGAAGGGCTCTTGACATTCAGATGTCCATTGGAAGCCCGCTGTCTTCCTCATGACTTGGAAGAAGGGAAGGGCCTTCTCGGCTGATCTTGAGAGGAAGCGGTTGAGAGCCGCCTAACGACCCGTTAGCCGTTGGACCTCTTTCACGTTGCGTGGTGGCTCCATGTTGATGATGGCCTGAATTTTCTCGGGGTTGGCCTCAATCCCCTTTCGGCTAACCATGTAGCCTAAGAATTTCCCTCCTTGCACGCCGAAGGTGCATTTCTTCGGATTCAGCCAGAGGTTGAACTTTTGTATGATGGCGAAGATTTCCCGGAGGTCCTCGGCGTGAGTGCTTGCCTTTTTGCTTTTGACGATCATATCGTCAACGTAGGCCTCCATGGTGCGCCCCAGGACAGCTTGAAAGACCCTGGCCACCATGCGGGTGTAGGTGGCGCCTGAGTTCTTGAGGCCGAAGGCCATCACGAGATAGCAGAAGATGCCCTCGGGCGTCATGAAGGCTGTTCTTTCAGCGTCTTCCTCATGCATGTAGATTTGATGGTACCCGCGGAATGCGTCGAGAAATGACATGATCTCGCATCCTACGGTTTCATCCACCAGTTGATCAATGTTTGGCAAGGGGAAGGGGTCCATAGGGCACGCCTTATTCAAGTCCGTGTAATCCACGCACATGCGGAAGGTGGGAGGCTTCTGTGCGAGGACCACGTTTGCCAACCAAGAAGGGTATTTCACCTCCTTAATGTGTTTGATAGAGAGGAGCATGGCTACCTCCTTCTTCACGAACTCCCTTCTGTCGGCCGAGAGGGGTCTTCTCCGCTGTTGTACCGGTTTGGCCGAAGGGTCCACCGCCAGGCGGTGGGTGATGACCCTTCGGTCAATTCTTGGCATATCCTCCGGCCCCCATGCAAAAACAATGGAGTAGGCGCGGAGTGCTTTGGTGATGCCAGCCTTCAGGTCTTCAGGGAGCTTGGCTCCAATCTTCAGGACTCTCTCCGGCTTGGCCGGATTGAGTATCAAGTCTTCAGTCTCCTCGGCAGGCTCAGCCCTCGGTCTACCTTCTTCTTCCTCCAAGGCTTTGGTGGTGATGGTGTCAACACGAAATTCAGTTTTACTAACCTTCTTGGTAAGTTGAAGGTAACAGGCCCTGGAGAGCTTCTGATTCCCCCTTGAGTAGCCAATGCCAGTAGGCGTGGGAAACTTGAGGCAGAGATGCCTCATGGAGGTGACGGCTTCCAGGTCTTCGAGGGCGGGCCGGCCGAGGATGATGTTGTGTGCGCAGTCGAGGTTGACGACGACGAATTCCACTTCGAGCTTGGCTCTATGGGATCCGTCGCCGAATTCAACCATGAGGGTGATGACGCCCTCAGCGTCTATGCTGTCCCCCGTAAATCCGGAGAGGGGGGTGTTGATGTGCCGAAGGGACCCCCTATCGAGTCCCAACTCTTGAAAAGTGCTGAGGTACATAACGTTGACAGAACTCCCCGTGTCAACGTAAGTCCGGAGGATGACGGCGTCATTGATCTCTGTGCGGATTACGAGGGCATCCCTATGTGGCAAAGAGCCCGAGGGGAAGTCCGCATCTGTGAAGAAGATGGGTTCCCCCCTTGGCCTCTTAGTTGGGGGCATGTGATTGACCTCCCCAACGTAGAGGGATTGAGCCCACTTCTTTCGCTGGCTGGTGGAGTCTCCACCAGTGTTGCCACCGTTAATCATGTGAATGTGGCGTTTGTATTGTTGATGGGAGCCTCCTTCATCGTCATCGAGGCCCCCGATTTCGCGCTTCTTCTCCTGTGGGTTTCCCAGAGGGATGGTGTTGGGGTTCACCCACTTATTAGCCTTCGGTGGAGGCCCTTGTT